GGGGGGGGGTGTCACATCACAGAGTCAGCTGTCTTAACCGTGGCTTGTGTAATACAAACACATACCAGCTTCATCACTGTGTCTGTCACGAGACTCTGTTCCCATTTCGGGCTAAATAAAATATGATGTGTTATAGATTACTAGTATCAAGACTAGTGATTATAATGGGAAATATACTTAATTACAAGAATTAAAGTGTGACAAACTGCTAAATATTCTAATATGATGATTTACCTGCTGGCTTGCTGGAGCTTTGTATTCATGTTTGCAGTGTTGAACTGCCTTTAGCAGCCTACCTTCGCTCTTTCTCTCTGTCTTCTTTTTTGCTTTTTTTTTTTGTGTGTCAACAACAGCGAATTTTGTGTTATTTATATTAGAAATGTTATTTATATTAGAAATGTTTGGTTACAATAATTTGATTAGACATTCTGATTCTAAGAATGTGGATATTTTGTTGTTATCACTTTTAAAAGACCAAGAGCAAATCATTACCGACAGAAATACAAAAACAAACTACCAAATTACCAATTCAGCGAATCGTCCACTGACTGTAATGTGTAATGCATCTACCTGTTAATGCAACGGGAACTGTGGTCTCCACTCCAGAGAGCAGCACACAGAACAGACCGCTTTGAGTGAAATATGGGTGATGGGAGGGGGACATGAGGGGCAACTCAGCTAATGAGGGCAAAGGGGCAGTAGCTCTAGCCACCGGGCCACCCCCCTGTGCACGGACCTGCACCAATATATCCCCATTTGTTTGCCAGCAAAATGCATCATCTGGTGGAATTTTGACAGCTGCAGTGCTTTTGTGAAAACTACAGTCATCCTTTAACATTTTTGTATCCCTGCTTGTCTGATCGAGCCCAGTGCTGTATGGGTCCTACCTCTTTTTTTAACGACTGCCCAAGCAGTTTTTTTTTGCAGACTGTGTAGCACCATCACATTTCTACTGCATAGACAGCTAAACTTTATTAAAACCCCATCTTGCCAGAAGTGAATTACTAAGAAATTGATAAAGCAAATATATATATCTGAAATATTTATAAATATATATAAATATATATCTGTATTTGAAAGCAATTTTGCATTTAAAACAACTGATTTGATTAGTATCTTTAGCTATAGCACATTATGCTACTGGAGAGATGCTCACAAAAAAAATTGGATGCAGTATAACAAAATAAAAATTTATAAAACTTTTGATATACCATGTTAAATGAAAATATTTAGGATTTTTCTTGAGCCTATCTGTAATTATAATGTAGAAATAATACATTTTAATTGAACTTTACCCGATTATATTTGTCCCCACATAAAAAAAAATATGGGCATGCTGATAAAAATGGTTGGGTCTATTTAATACCCCCTAAACAAGGGAGTATTATAGGAAGAACCTCAGAGAGAGTGGAGAGAGAGTGACAGATCCAAAGATTGCAGATATATTTAACATCTACAGTAAGAACAGGTTAAAGGGACCATGACAAGATTAAAGAAACATCCATATAAAAAGTTTAGACTGACCGTTATGTTTGGTTCTTTTTGAATTCTGAAACAAATTTATCAGTGATTCTCACATATGTACTCATTCTCTTCTCTCACTGTTAACATTTAACAATTACACGATTCTGCTTCAAAGAGACTCTCTCTTCCAGGCCGCCTTGGTGCTGATGTCTAAATGTTGCAAATGATGCAGAGCCCATTTTAAATAAAGAATCATTCATCACTAAGGATAGGAAAATAAACCCACTTCCATTTAATGTCTTAATATCTGCAGATTTTAATCTCTTGTGGGATTTTGTCAAAGTACAGTGTTGATTGATTTTTTTCTCTCTATACTTTACATGGATTTTCTGTCAAATCACACACTTTTCATTGTCAAAGAAATCTGCTTCACACAATGATTTTTAATTTGATGTGCTGAAAATTGCTCTTACAGTATTGCAGACAAATAGCTTTTGTTTACAGTCTATTCAAAGCAGAGTTAAAGAAGAACACTGCAATACACAGAGCAGAGTAAACTGGCGATCTTTATAACAGCGATACATCCAAGCATATTCAGAATACCAGTGTCAACAGCTTTTTTTCCCTTTTTTTGCACATTTATATTCTAAGCACTTTACCGGTGGATGTTTTTGAGAGCTTAATACTCTGTAGCATGCATAAACATCCATTTTTGCTGACCTTGATGCACCAAGAGATTTAGCAAAAATAGCCTGTCCTCTGCTCATCCCAGTAACGTCAACTGACATTACAAGCAAAATAGCTTTCACTAACTCACAACAGTATAACAGAGGTTAAATTACAATCTAGTGCAGCTGCAATCTGCAACTACCATATTTATATACACATATGTATACACAGGCACTGGTTCGCAGTAGGAATTGAATGTCTGGGTCAGTTCTATTTCCTAATTGCTGCTATTTCTTAGAACTGACTGCCAGACATTGCTATGTGCTTTCACACTGCAGGGGACCTGACTATCATTACACACAAAACAGCATACCACAGGGAAGAGTTAAGGCTGCAGACAACTATCAATGATAATATTTTGAAGAATGTTATAGTTTTACATTCAGAGGCTTAATTTAGATATTCATTTTGGGGCAGGTAATTTAAATGTAATTGTCCATAGGGAAAAAAAATAAATGAGAGAAAAGTTTTTTTCAGTGCTTTACCCAGAAACTTCAAGGAGCTTCAAAGCGGAATTTTTTTTTTAAGTTTTAGATCAACTAGGAAGACTACATTGCATCTCTGAAGGACATCTGATGATCAAACAGAACATTTTATATTCAAATAATTGCACGTTTAAAAGAATAGGTCACTCAGAAAAAAACTCCCTCATGTTGTTCCAAACCTGTACCACTGGGTGACATCCTGGATGCCAATATTGTCAGAGAATAAGAGGTTAAATATATCAGTGTAATGTGAAATGTATCTCTGATATGATACTTCCATAGTAGCTTAACAGCCTCATTCTTCAAAGTTCATATTTTGTCCTAATTCTTTATATAATGATTGCTAAACAGTGGCTTGTACATAAACACAAATCTTTTCTAAGATACAGAAAGACACAGCTCTAATCCCCCAGACTAGAAAGACAAGTGTCATCTAATAACAATGTTCAATGAGAAAAGGGTGAAAGGTTACCCATATACCTGCCTGGAGTCAAAGTCTCTGTTTACTATTGAAAGGAGTATTAACAGTGGTTTCAAATGAAACAGAAGAAATCAGGGGTATTGTTGATGCTATTATTCTAACTGCCATATCCCAGCATATACGTATAGCGTGTTATCTTTATTGTCACAAAGGTCAGAAATTAATCAGGGCTTGGGGGCAAAAATGCTTTGGATGGTAGATTGCCATTATGGTGTTGAGCGAAGGCTTTAGTTAGGTTAGAATGATGTGTCAATGAGATACATTATAATTATTTAATGCCCTTGCATTAGAAAAAAGAAACAGTTTTGAAATAAGCAGAGTACACCAGCTTCACCAAAAGGAGCAGTAACCAACACAATATCTTGGCAATTCGTAACTATTTCATGCTTTGGCAAATTGGTGGCTAATTTGTATTAGTTCATACAATCTCATGCGTATGTTTTTGTGTGACCTGCTTACATCCCAGTGAAGTTTATGTTTATGTTTGTCAATAATAATAATAATAATAATAAAACTACTACTTAAAAACAATATCAATAACATAAAATGGTGAATTTATTGTCATTTACTATTGTTTTACATGACAAAAACCTCACAAGCTAATACCCTGCTTTTATGTCCTTTTTATGTCTCTGTTTATTGCAATTGCATGCAAAATAGCGACCAGTGCTTTTTTCCCTACACAGTAATGTAAGTCATAAAGGTTTGAAACAACATGAGGGTGAGTAAATTGTAACGTTTATTATTATTTATTAGCTCTAAAAAGGGGAATATTTATGACGAATTATAACTGGTTATGATTCATAATAAATATTTAGATTATATCTTCGAATTAACTGTAGCAGAATCAATATTACAATTATTTGATCTGTCCGTCCACCGAGCAGACAATATAATCATTTATCAATTCAAGGAATATTTATTTTCTGGCCACGGAACAATAAACTGTCCTTCTTTGTACATTTAAGCCATAAACAGTCCAACGCTCATGCATGATCATACGCAGACGCTACAAAATTATTAATTGACATACATTTTGTGTTTTGCAAAGTTTGCTGCTTAAGCTGTTGTGGTGTTCATTCACGTTGTTTCTAGATTATTGTGTAGAGTGATCAGATGCATTTTAAATCATTCTTAAAAGCTTCATTGGCCAAAACAATTTTTTCCACAAAAAACAAAAACAAAACAAATTTCACTGTTTTTTTGATCCTGACACAAAATGACCAGCTAAAATGAATTGACTAATCATAACAGCAGCGCATGTGAAAGTGTGAATGAGTACTAGTCAGGTAAAATCACTATCATACTAATTAGATTGCAAGAGCAGACTGATTGCTATAAAAGGAGGGAAGAAGCGCTTCCAATCACTGTGTTCTTGCTAGCAATGGTTACCTCCAAAGAAACACGTACAGCCATCATCTTTTTGCATCAAAATGGCCTCACATGTAAGGAAATTGCTACAAATAATATTGCACCTGAAAGAACCATTTACCGGATCATCAAGAACTTCAAGGAGAGAGGTTCGACTGCAGTGAAGTAGTCTTCAGAACGTCCCAGAGTGTCCAGTAAGTGCCAGGACCATCTCCTCCTGAGGAGTCAGCTAAGGAATCGTGTCACCACCAGTGTAGAGCTTGCTCAGGAATGGCAGCATGCTGGTGTGAGAGCATCTGCACACACAGTGAGGCCAAAATTTTGGACAACGGCCTGGTGTCAAGAAGGGCAGCAAAGAAGCCACTTCTTTCCAAGAACGTCAAGGACAGACTGAAATTCTGCAGGAAGTACAACGATTGGACAGCAGAAAGTTATTTTCTCTGATGAAGCTTCCTTCCAATTGTTTGGGACATCTGGAAAAGGTGAACGCTACCATGAGACCTGTGTCGTGCCAACAGTGAAGCATCTAGTGTTGGGTCATTCTTGAACGATTTGTTCGTTGTGAACGAATCTTTAATGTGACTCGGGAAGAACGAGTCGTCTCGGGGAGTGATTCGTTCAGTCGCGCATGCACAACATCCTATAGGTTCTGTACTGGAATTAGTCAAGTAGTTCACCTGGTTCGAGTCTTCGGGGTTTT